TTTAAGTCTTTATTATACATGTAATATTATTATTATTTTTTTAATTTTTATATTGGATGGCAAGTTAAATCTGGTTTTATAAGTCTTATACAAATTATATGTTGATAGTTAGTAATGCAAGTTTAATGAATATTATTCTATTCTGAAATTCACAATTTAACAGATTTCCACACCACCTTAGCATTGTTTTCTACAAAACTGGAGGTACTGTATTTTGGCGCGTTATTTTTAAAGTGGTTTCCCAACATAGGCCTACTCCACTGATTTTCTTAATTGTACTAACTTTTTTAATTTACTCACTAATACTTTATAAACTTTTTGTATTGGACACGCACAAAACACATTCAAAATTATCATTACAACCTGACGTTTGTCCTACATTTGACAAACATTGTAGACTATAGTACTATCCATCTGTTACATGTATCGCATTGCACCCAATCTATATTTTCTTTTTTTATCTCTTTGTGTTTTTTATCCGTACGCCCACAATACAAACAAATATCTCTCATGAAATCAGATTTTTCCAACAAAAGATCTTTTAACATCTCTCTGTATAACATTGGGTTGAAGTCTTTTTTTAAATTAATGTTTTCAATCTTATTTTTCATGATACACTCTGCATAGTACAACACATAAACTCCACAGTTATAACTATCGGTTTGTTTATTTTGTTTGCCAAATTTACAGTCATTACTAATAAGTACGGAAACACCGTCAGATTTATTTATTATTCCTAAAGAATGAAACATTTGATATCTATCAATTTTTATATTACTCTTCTTTCATCCATGTCTCACTTTAAGGGGATTGCAAACGTCTATTATTTCATCCAAAATATACTAATCTTTTGTCAATCACACCGATGAAACTGTAAACGCGATATAACTCCTGAAAGCTGATTTGAATTTATCAATATGTCTACTTGAGATCGATCAGTCCACTTTTTAAAATTTCGATCTGCAACTCCTTTAAATTTGGTTTGAATATTTAAAAAATTAAAAAATTTTAAGTGTTGATTATTCCTTATTTAAATCTAA